TTATGGTTACTGTTTGAACACTATGTATTTTTCCACCTTTTTACTTCCAACTACTTCTTTGAATTTAATGTATGTATCTTATAGACAGCATATAGTTGGATTTTTTAAATCCATTCTGCCAGTAACTATTTTTCGATTGGAGAGTTTGGCCTATCTATGTATAAGATAGGTACCAATAAGTATATTTGCACCTGCCATTTTCCTATTTGTTTTCTACATGTCTCATGTTGTTACTCGTTTTTTGTTGCTATTATTTCTCTCTTCCTCCATATGTGCTTTCTTTTGTGTTACATATTCTCTAATATACTATTTTAAAACTTTTGTTATTATTATTTTACTATTTTTTTATTTATTCTGAGTGATTGCCCTAGGGATTACAATTAACAACTTAAACAACCTACTTCAGATAAATATCTACTTAATTTTAATATTATAAAAGCTTTACTCCGCTACAGCTTCATACTCCCCCCCACACACACTTTGTGTTACTATGATCCTATAAATCACATCTTTATACATTACAGTTCATCAGCACAGTTTTAGAATTACTGACTTATGCATTTGTCATTTATATTTTTTGTCATTTATATTAAATAGAAGAAAAGATTTACAAACAAAACAATGTGTATATTGTAATTTTTATTATTTTGTATAGTTAACTTATACCAGTGCATTTATTTCTTCATGTTGAAGTAAGTTATGATCTAGTGGCCTTTCATGTCAGCCTGAAGGACTCCCTTTAATATTTCTTGTAGGGAATGTTTGATAATGATAAAGTCTTGGTTTTAGTATCTGAGTATGAATTCATTTATCTTTTATTTTGGGGAATGTTTTTGTAAGATACAGAATTCTTGGTTAAGTCTTTTTCAGCACTTTGAAAATGCCATCCCATTGCTTTCTAGTCTCCATGGTTTCTGGTGAAAAGTCAGCCATTAATATTGAGATTTGCCCAGAGTTGTGCTAAAGCTCAAGTTTGTGGGTTTTTGTTTTTTTTTTTCCTGGCACACAGATTCAGGCCAGTTTTCTGCACTTGCCCACTAGTCCTCTACCAAAACTCACTCTCACCACCATAAGGAGCATATACAAGGAGATTGACACAGGGTGTATGGGTGAGGTGCACAGAACCCTGGAGGTACCCATCAGCCACTTAGGGTGATCTGCAGATGAAGTGTCCCCAGTGTTTCATGAGCAGCTTCTTGATGAAGTCCACAATATGGTTATTAGGATCCACATCCCTTTAATACCCTCCTAGAGTCCTATCTGCCACTCTCTCAGCCTCTTTGCATCCCCAGAGAACAAGACCAAGGTCTATATGTCTGTTACTTGATGACGGGTGGGCAAAACTCTTCTCACATTCCTTGGAATATGGTGCCAGATCCCATAGCTCCCACAAAGGTACTTATGTCTGTGGGTGGATGCCAAATTGTTGTTGTCAAGGTGGGGATACATTGAGTAACATTTTAATCAGACATTTTGCTGACATCAGTCCCATATCATCCCTTTTTTTCTTGAATAAATGCTCCTACTATTGTTGTAGGCCTTTGGTCAATTTCCAGAGTTCTGAAAAAGTTGATTTAGACTATTTCTATTCTCAATGTTTCTAAGGAAGCAAGAATTTTCAGAAGTCCTTCCCTCACTATTCCAAAAGTGCTTCTCCTCTCTTTGTTTTTAATATAGTTTATGGTCATCCATCATCTAGACTTAAAAATTTTAAACTTAAAATAGTTTTGCAGAATATCTATACCAATAAGATGAATAAACTTTTAGAAATGTAAACTTGTTGTAGGTATCGCTTATTATTTAAGCTCTTCAAATTCTCAGGTCAGATCTTTCTGAATAAAAATCAAAGATCTTATGACATCTAGCTCTCTTCACTATTTTCACATCTTTTCATAACTCCATTGTATGTGTGCATTCCTCTTTATACCACTTTTTACATAGTATGTGATTATTTTGCCATCTTTTCCTGCACTACTTTGATGGCTGGGATTACAGAATTTCAATTTTTTAAACCCTTTGCTTAGAAAAATGCCTGCCACATAGTATGAACTACTTGAATACATACTTGCTAAATAGTTGGATGAGAGAATTAAGAATCATAGACAAGGAAATTTGGAGAAGGAAGATATTAATAGGGGGATCATGGTGCTAGCTGTTTTTAATCAGAGAAAAATACTTTTGGATGATTTTCCTTTCTTCCTTCTCCAGCAAATGATAAATGGCTTTTTCCCTTTTTCTTCCCTGCTAAGGAAAATCCCCTTAGCTTATAATGCCTCCAAGTGCACTAAGAGTTAATGGTTCAGAGCTCAAAGGAAAAGACTTGGCATGGGCAAGGATGGGAGGAGAATTATGCAGCCAAAATATTTCTCTTCATTTTTTCCTCCAACTCTGGGAAGGGAGAAAACATAAAACTGAATATTATATTAAGCATTAAACAAGCATAATATTTTCACTCTATGATTAAAGGATAGTGGTGGTGTTGTGATGATGTCAAGTATGATAAAATAAAATAAATTATTAGAAGTAATCCTGTTTGTAGGAAGTTATACTGGTTGACATGTCATATCTTTTCCATTTGTAGTTTCCCTACGTTTCTGATTTGTTTCCAACAAAAATCAGTGTTGGTAAGATGAATAAAAACCTAAGCATGGGAAGAAGTTGATGGATAGCTGTGTGTGGTGTGCATGGAAAAATCCTCTTCAGGAAAGAATCCAAATTACTAACTGGAAAAGGGTGGGAAGAATAACTCATGTCACTAAAAAAAAAATTTATGAAAAATTAAAAGGTCAGAACTTTGGATATTTGTAAGTTAAGGTGTATTTTGATTTATCCTGGGGAGATTCAAAAACTACAACTGAACTGAATTACTTCCAGTGAAATTACTTGGCTCAAATAATTTCCTATTTCATTACCTTGCTTGCCATGTGGACAAGTGAAATAGACCAATGCAACTAGTGAGCAAATTACATAATATTTTTGGGAGACCTTGAATCATTATAGTGTAAACTATATTGCATCCATATTTCTCTTCATGTACAATTATTATAATCAACAATTAGCTATTCAAAGTAACCAAAACTTAAACTTTTTTATACTCTTTCTTCTGTATTTAGAAATGTCTCAAGAAGAGACATTTATGTGTGACAGACAGCAATTCTATTGATTAGTTTAAAATCCAGAATTAAAAAACTACAGATAATAAAAGTTGGCTTTTCTATCACTTTAAGATACTTATAATTGATTAAAATAATTAATACTAATACATTACTTTGGGCAAGTTATTATCTATTAGTTATCTTGTATTTAGGAAAACAAATGTGCTAAAAACATTAATCTGAAACATACTGCATTCCTCTTTCCTTTGGTATCCCAGTTATAAATATAACATATTATTTTACATGATATGTCATATATCTTTTTAGTTCAGTTTATTTCCTTTGAATGTTATATATATATACATATATACCTTTTCAATTTGCAACTGTAATATATATTGTTAAACATAAATGCTCAATGAAGAAACTATGATAAAGCTGCGACTAGAGGTAAGGTAGCTCTTTAACAAAAATATTTTTTCCTTTGTGTAGATTATCGTACCAGAATAATGTTATACAAACTCCTTATAATCTTTTATTAACTTAAAGTATTAATAACATTTTTCTAAGTCACTAAATTTTTGTATTATTCTTTTTTATATTATTATAATTATACCATTTTTATATTATTATTTTTTGTTCCAGTACTTAAAATATTCTACCCTGTCCCCAGAGGCAAAATTGCTAACCCTTCCCCATCTATATGAAAAGTATTACTAGTCCCCCTTTATAGTGAGGAAAGTGAGTTACACAAAGCTTAATTTACTTTCCACGTGCACACAGCTAGCAAAAAGTTAAGCTGAAGTTAGAACACAAGAATGTTTGGCTTCATGTTCAGTCCACCTCTATTCTTCCCCTTCCTATACATATTTTTGATCAGGGATTTAACAATGTGAAGATCCGTCCCACAAGAAAAGGAAATGAGTATCTTCTGATCTCTTGTAGCTTACTGCTTATTGGTCTTCAAATCAAACAGTGTAGCATGGTTGACTGAAAATAGAGTTGTATTTCTTTCTCATAGCACTGTAGATAAACATAAAGACAAGGACTGTCAGAAAAGGAAATAGCTGTCTTAGGGAGGACTCTTGGCCTGGGGATAGAGCAGGGGATGACAGTTGTCAACCAAGTAATGGAGCAGAAGAACTCCCAAAGAGAAAGGTTATGGAATAAAATTAAATAAACAAATCATAATAGAAGGCAAGTAGTGGTTGAAATAGCAGTCAGCATTGGGACATCCTAGTCAGATGTTAAGATGGGGAATGAACTCAAAAGTAGATTTAGAAAGACAGTTTTTCTAGGACAGATTAATGTTTGGAATAGGTGGGAGTTTAAATCCTTAGGTTACAAGAATTAGATTAAAAAGGTAGAACTTGAGTTGGTTTTAGTTTTAGAAAGGGGAGCAATCAAAGAAAAGACATATTACTGCCCTAGATGATGGCTACAGTAGTGGCTAAGTTTATAAAAACAACATTAAGACTTAGGGGCATGTATCTAGGGTATTGTTAGAATGCAAGCAGAGAGAAGCCCCAGGGTACAGCAGGACTGAGTTAACTTCTCTGGTTTCTGTCTCCTTATATCATTAATGACCAACCTCAGGATTGGTTCTGTACCCAGGAAATGCCTGAACATACAGATGTCCCCTGAGTCATCTTAGCTATATGAAGGGAGGATGATATATCCAAAAATTAGACAGATCACTACAATAAACAGGAACAACAGAAAAAAAAAAAAAGAAGAAAAGTAAGATTTTGAGAAACACCCATGGGGCTTTTCTTCCTTTCTTAAATTTCTGAATGACTAATTTTTCCCTGGACACCATGAACATCAATTACTCATTCCAAAACTGCTTAGAACATTTTTTTTTTCATTTTTTAAAACATTTTTCAATCATTATTCCCAGTTTATATAAGCAGATTTTAGATATAGCTCCTCTGAGCTTTCTTATGTTATGATATACAGGATGCTGTATTTTTGAATTGGGTAAATTTCCATTTGCTTTATGTTCAGGCCTCCCAGGATCTTGTTCTATAATATTGAAGAAAAGCAACTTGATTCCATAGAGGCTTCGTGTAAGTTATGGTAAGTTATGGCATTCTCATAAATGTTGACTTGGGCTACCCTAGACAAGAAGTAAAAAGAGATACTCCACAGAATAATCAGCAATAGTGGATAAGAAATCTCCAGTTAGATCCAAGAGGGAGAGTGCGGCATGTATTACAGCAAAGTGATTTCAATATAGCTGTCATAGTCTATAGTATATTGTTGTGGTTAAGAGCATAGACTCAAAGGTAGGATAACTGGGTTTCAGTCTCTGCTGTATTTACTAGCTGTGTGTGATCTAGTGAAGTTCCTTAACTTCTCTGCATCTCTGCTTATTTATTAGAAAAATGAATATATAACTAAAGGGCCTATTTCAAAAGCTATTATGACACTTACAGGAATGAATATATGTAAAGTGCTTTGAATAGAACATTGCAATAATAATGATTATAATTATATACTATATTATATATTATAAATATTACGTTATTATTATTGTCATTCGTGGTTGGTGACATACTATACAGTTTTTGGCAGTAAGTAATCCTAGCATGGCCAAACCAGAAGTGTGCCCATTTTCTGCTCATGTAACTAGAATTTTACAGAAACTAAATTGAGACTGCTAAAACTCATTGACTAGTCTGTACTAAAAATTACTTACAGGTAGTAAGTCATATAACTGACATTTTGATTAACCTAATACCAGTTTGATTAATACGAGCCTTGAACAAGAGGGCTCCTACTATGCTTTCTGTAATGTAAATGTGCTCCTGACATACCCTCCTTTGCCACATTATGCAAAGTGTGGACTACAGATCCAAAGATATCGCATCAAGTTTGATCTAATCAGGGTAGGAATTAGGTTTTGGCTCTTATTCTCAGGACATCATATTTGACATCAGTTTTTCTCATAGTTGTGTCATACTTCCACTCATATTGTTTAAATTTAGGGCGAACCAACCCACTGAGCTGCCCCAATATTTGGCAAGTTTTTGAGTTGATAGGCAAGATGAACACCACTTCTTTGCTTCTCTTACTTATTAAACCACCTATTTTACTTGTATTGCTTCCAGTTAAAAAGTGACCTCATGCTTGCTGACACACGTTCAGTGATTGTCCAAGAAATGTTGATATTTTGTCTTTCGTGCGTCGTCAGTTTCCTTTTCTCACTCTCTCGCACTTCCACCCTCCAATGTCTTTGAAGCCTCTGTCCATTTGACATGAAAAATGTACTTATAGTCTTGTGGCTAATTATTTCAAGGAGAGGTGAAAAAAAACCTTGAATATGGCATGATGAACTCCATCTGCTTCAGCTAAAGGGATTGCACACTTCAGAATTTCTTTGCAATGACAACTTTTCAGCAATTTACTTTTGCTAAACATTGCATTCTGTTCCTCCAATGCTGGACTGCTCTTTGACTGTCTCTTCAGAGAATTAACCCTATCCCACAGCACATTTTTAAAAATCATAAACTTTGCCTGTGAAATTTTGTGAAACTGAATTGTCTTTGTTAGTTTTACCAAATTATTATCACCTCTCATGTCATTACTCAGGTCTTTCGCTTCTGGCTCTCTCACTTTCCAACACAAAAGTCAATAATCTCCAAGGGGTTGACAGTCTCATTCAAGACTTGAAGTAAAGAGCTATAGCTGGGGCTTGAGGCCAGACTGAAGAGAACTACTGGTATCATTGGTATATGATTATTATCTATCTCTGCTACTCTGCTTCTTATCAGGAATGTTTCTCCTGTTGCCATCACACAGGATTATATGAAGTAAACACTCTTTTTTTTTTTTTTTAGGATTTTATTTATTTATTTGAGACAGAGAGAATGAGAGAGACAGAGAGCACATGAGAGGGGGGAAGGTCAGAGGGAGAAGCAGGCTCCCTGCCGAGCAGGGAGCCCGATGCGGGACTCGATCCAGGGACTCTAGGATCATGACCTGAGCCGAAGGCAGTTGCTTAACCAACTGAGCCACCCAGGTGCCTTGAAGTAAAACTCTTTTTTTTTTTTTTTAAAAGATTTTATTTATTTATTTGAGAGAGAGAGAATGAGAGAGAGCACATGAGAGGGGGGAGGGTCAGAGGGAGAAGCAGACTCCTTGCTGAGCAGGGAGCCCGATGTGGGACTTGATCCCAGGACTCCAGGATCATGACCTGAGCCGAAGGCAGTCGCTTAACCAACTGAGCCACCCAGGCGCCCGAAGTAAAACTCTTAAAGAGTTTTGCAACTACCCCCAAGGCTGGGACTGCTTCCTACATGTGCTACCTAGTATTTATATAATCTTAGATAGGTTATTTAGACTCTTTACCCTCAGATTTTTCATATGTTAATGAGGATAATTAATATTGGATTATTCCTGGTAGGATTGTTATAAGGATCGATCAAGATAATTTAAAGTGTTCCATATAATGCCTGACACATAGAAATATCAATAAATAATAACTATTTTTATTTTTGAAAATAAGCATTCTTCAAAAGTCTTTGTGAAACTAGTGATTTAGATTAAGTTACCTTGTATTAGGATATTATTAAACATTAAAGAACTGGAATTAGTTAATGTCTAGAAGTAAATAGAACTTTAAGAATAAATATATGACTTTATAACCTTTTTGCTTACACCCTAAAGTTAAAGCACCTGAGGAAAAAAAGACAAAGTAGCAATAATATTATTTAATTTTTGCTAGGTCCAAGAACTAAAAAGATGGCAACTGCCCAGGTCAGAATGCATTTACTTCTTGGTGATCTGTTCCACTACATTATTGTTGCATTTTCTGAATTTTTATACATATTCTATACCTAATAATTTAGTAGTAAAGTATTACACTCATGAGTTGTTTTTTTTTTTTATAATTGTTCCACATATTATTTTTCCCTATGTTAGGTAATATAGCCCCAGTGACTTGGTTAAGATCTCTTGGAAGACAGGTGTGTATCTTAAGTTTTAAAACAGGACACCCTCACCTCCTCATCTCATATGTGGAGATTATGTAAACCACTACTGAATTACTCATTCTGGTCACTCCATAGTTTGAGAATATTGATTACATGGTGGACCTGGATCTCTCTTCAGGGAAGGACTTGTTGTCAGTGTGACTGGGAGTGCTGTTGATGAACAGTGTTTAGCTGTCAACGATCGAAGGGATGCCTTGAATACAGAGAATTGCCTTACCCAAGGTCAAGACCCTTCCTAGAGTGGCCTACCTTCTTTTTGAGGCATCCCTGACCATCCTAACTAAAATTGCAACTTATTTTCCCTGTAGCACTACCCATGCCCTTCTGTTTATTTCTCTCTCTAGCATTGCTATATGACAGCCTTGATATTTTATTTATGTGTTATGGTTTCTCTTTCCCCATTAGAATGTCAGCTCAAGGAAGGCAACATTTGTAGGTTATTTTGTATCCCAAGTTCTCAGAAAAGTACCTGAAACATAATACTTGCTCAATGATTGTTTATTACATGGTTATGAACTCTAGAGTGAATATACCACCCTCTGTTGAGAGAGAAACAGACAATATTCAATAAAATAAACAAAAGCTGTGCTTATATTTTGAATTTTCTCCAAGTTCAGATTCAGTAATAAAAGATGCTTGTCTATAATAATGAAGCTCTACTTTGTTTTCCCCTGGGTTATTGATCCATGAATGTTTACTTAGTCAAAATCTAGGAGGAGAGAAAATATGTGTGGCAGTCATTATAGCTCCTTTTCAGCTATCTCTATCATTTAAAAAAATGTGTCCACTTTCAGCTTCCTAAATTAGGCTTCAAATCTTCTTACACATATTTGACTCTCTGTTATCTCACAATGTGACTTCACACTCAGAACTCTCTTTTTAAATAAAGACCATTTTTTTCAATAGGTTTTTCATTCAAAGCCTCACCAAGACACAGCTTTATAAATTCTCCTCTCTATCCCTGCTCTCACTACCAGGCATAGCAAATTATTAGCAAATGAGACTCTGCCTCTCTGTCCAATCAGACTTCTAGGTCATTGATCCCAGAATGTGCCCAGCAAAGTGTTCCCTGACTTCTGGGAGTGGGAGTTAGTTTAAAATATTCTTGTAAAAAATTTTTATCAGGGTATATTTTACATATAAAATACATCCATTTCAAGTATGCAGTGTAGTGATTACTAATGTTAATGAGTGGTGTAACCATCGCCATAAATCCGTTTTAGACTGTTTTTATTCCTCCAATAAGATCACTTTTTCCCATTTACAGTTAATCCCCATTCTTATTTCCAGCTTCAGGCAACCATTTCTGGAAACATTTCTCTAAAAAGTTTGCCTTTTTGTAGATATTTCCTAAAAATAGAATTATACCATCTGTAGGGTCTTGTGCCTGGCTTCTCTCACTTAGCATAATGTCTTGAAGTGCATCCATGACATTGCATGTCAATAGTTTCTATTGCTGAATAGCATTTCATTGTATGTATATGCCACATTTCATCTCTCCATCTATTTTGTCTATCCAATGGATGGGCAGCTTTTCAATTTTCAGGTATGATGAATAAGATAACTATGAACATGGCCTTGTGGGGATATATGTTCTCGGTTCTCTTGTGCAAGTATTTAGCAGTGAAATTGCTCAATCACATGGTAGTTTTATGTTTAACTTCTTGAGAAACTGCCAAGCACTGTCCAAAGTGGCTGTGCCAGTCCCATTCTCACAGCGTGCTTCTCCACGTTCCCATCAACATTTGTAATTGTCTGTCTTATTTATTGTAGTCATCCTTGCAGATGTGAAATGATACCTTACTGCGGGTTTAAATTGCATTGTTGTGGGCAGGGAGATGGGAGTAAGCCAAGTTAAACATCAAAGACCCTGCTGTTTTTACTGATGTTTACTAGTTTTTTCTAGAATGATCACTCACTAGTTTTTTCTAGAATGATCACTTTGCAGGTTGTGAGAAGCCTTTGGTTAATTTCTAGAGTTCTGAAAGAATTGATTTTGCTGATACTGTGTTGCTTTTGTGGAGATTTACCAAGTTCTTACTCTATGATACCACAAGTCTTGTCCCAAGTCTAAAATGTTGT